TCAAGGGAAAAAGACGAACGAACGAAAAATAATATGTCCTTCTCATTTTTCACGGTTTAAACGAAATCGCCGTGACCGCGTTCTGTTTTTCTTTGCCTGATTAGCAAATGGTGTCGATGATGATAATAATTAATACAAATTGCATCTACAATTCATTGAGAGGACATTAGCCCTGAAAAATTACTTTTCGTGATTAATTCAATAAAAAACTTTTAAAAATTTAGTAAATCTATTCACCTTAATAATAAAAGGTTACGGTTAGAATCGATTTAATTAATTTTATTTTGTTAGGAAACATTACAATGATACTGAACATTCAAATTACACGTGATTTTGTTATTCTAATAAATTCAACAAAGGAATGGTAATACCAGATAATTCGATAATACTTAAATAACTTTTATAAATAGAGATGTTTTTTTGAATATCTAATAATGCACCTTAAATCTGATAAAGTATCACATTAAATTATGCTTCGCATAAAATTTATATCAGTTCCATGATCAAAAACATTTGTATGGCTTACCAATTAGCTAAAACTGAGTAAAAAACAAAAAACATTACATTACCACTAAAATATGGTTCATCACTTTCGTGTTATTTATTCTAATAACTATAACGCACACTGCAAGTAAAATTTAGTGAAAACATTTTATAATGTTTGACAAAAAGGAGTGTTGTTAAATGCAGGTATTACAACTACGTAGCAAAAAGAGGTTAGCATGTAAGTATGTACAAATTTTTCTTTTCATATAACTCGGGACTTACTCGAATTGTCTTGCACTTGTTTTTTAAAATGTTTCACCAAAACTGCGTATTAATTTAATTTTTCAAAAAATATAAGATCATTAAACTGTTTTCAAAATGACAAGTAACGCTATCTACCAAAAATTGTTCGAGTCTATAGCCACAGATTACAAAGTTAACATATGTGTAGATATACCATATGGAATTTTTTTTAGTCTTCGAAGGAATTTTGGGAATTTAAGCTTATCAGTAAAAAGCGAATATGCTATGTAGTTTATTTCTAATACAGGTGAATAATTTGACTTAGTAACAACAAATACATACGTGGTGTATAATTGAGCGATGCAAAAAATGTGTGTGAACTATAATATTACAGTAATAATTTTTATTGATTTGTGAGTGTTAATATATTAATGTATATATTTATTTTATAAATTAACCTATGCATATAATTATTTGTACTTTTGTATAGATAATTATGTGTCTTAATCGTATAGTTTCAAAAAATTACTCGAAAAAACTATATTCCAGTAATCTTTCATCTTTCATTCAATAACTGATATAATATTCAGTTTATTCATTAATTATTTTTACCTGTTATATTTCTATATTTTTCTTCATCTTACGTGAAATATTTAATGAAAGAAAAGATTTATTTCTAAATACTTTACTACTAGGTGGCTATAGTGCCTCTATAACCGTCGGTCAGGTTTTTCGAGGAATACTGTAAAATATTTTAACCAGAACAAAATATCGCACTAGACTAATAATATTTACTATAATAAGCATTTATATTAATGTAAAATTAATTAAATCCTTCCTACTTTTGCGAATTTTCATATGTAAAAATCGTTGACTGTGCGTTTACTGAAAGATGGCGCCATGAGTACACTTGTGAGGTTGTTCAAAATAGGAATGAAATAATTGTCAAAACTCTAGTAATTATTAAGCTTCTCGTTCAAAACTATAACAGCTTGCTTTAACAGTTATTATTAAATTAAGCATATCTCCTATTTGTCACTTGATTATATATACGTATTTGTCGTATTCTCATTGTATCGTGCCTCTAGGTTAGCTTTCCAATACTTAGAGGCGCCATGTTCAAACAGAACTCATAGAATATCAAATATAGAATATTTTAATACGTCATCAAGAAGTAAGTACTTATCATTCACCTCAATGTTTCATTCAATATTTTCAACACGGTCATTCAATTTATTCACTAAACCATAAAATGGGAGTGATATTAGAGCTTACAACTTCAATGTTTATATCTATTTATCATTGAACATCCAGCATCACAATTACATATTACAGAAGTATAATACAAAACTCGTTAAATTTAATAAGCAAACAGAAGAGTAAAAAAAACATCAAAACATGAACTGTCGATTAAATGATAAAATGAGAATGCGCAAGCGCCGGTGTCCCCTCCAGGTTTGCCGAGGTTGTAATTGTCGGTCAAATCGCGGCTGATTTCTGCTATGAAATTCGCGATACAGATGGCGACTTTGCGCTGGTTCCTCGCTACAGTGCCACGAGTGTCACCAACCGATCGGAATCGTCGTCTTGTCGCCGGCTCGTGCACATCTTGTTCTCTTATTCTGTGTGCGTGCACTGTCGTTGTGTGTACACCGCACGTACCTCGGTGCACACAGCCACACGTGCCTTAAGTCGAGGGGTCCCTGAAACCGTCCGGCTCGTCTCCCGCGAAAAGACGAGGGTTTCTACGACTTGCCGGTTCGCATAACTCCACACGTACCATGATCTCGCGGAAAAGATAGTTGTTGCGTGAATACACTAAGTGCAGGTCTCAATCGACCGGCCTCGAGGAGAGTGCATCCACCGGTTCGACGTTCTCGTGAGTGATCATTGTCGCGTCTGGTGTTCGTTGGTCATCTGTGATCGACGAGACAGTCTCTCAGCCTCACAGACAGCTCGTCCAATCGTCAGGACAGTTTCTCATACCTGGATTGTCAACACACCAGTCTCCATAAGGTATTTATCCAACGTAGTCTGCGCGGCTGACAGACACATGACAGTCCTTACTTATCATTCGAAAGTTTCGGATCACGTGACCGTCGGAACTAATAGAAATACTCAAGAGTACGTAATCATTACTGTTGTGTTCAAACGTTCACTCGGTTACCTGTGAACCTACCGATATTTCATGTGCATGTAAACACAATTGCATCAATCTGTTTCGATTAGACACAAGTCCGCTGTTACTATGCAGAGCTATTGTGTCACACGTGTGGTATCGTTATTTTAAGAAACCCATCTATTCAGATTATAACAAACATTTCTATGGGTTACGCAAAATCAGTATCTTATGAAATATAGGGACTCGAATAAAGAAGTGTAATTGTCAAAAGATACAAGTACCACTAAACTGGTACTTCTAGATAGCTGGTTTAATGGACAACTTTTCTGCCAGGAAAATGTTGACACACTGAGGTCTGGCCATTGTTTGGCAGTTGTCGAGATTTTCGCATGTGATCACCCTTGTTCTCAAGAATCGAGACCTAGCAAAGCATATGCGCGATGGGTACACCGGTGACGGTTTTCCGAAACGGAACCGTTTCGTTCGCCGCTGGCTCGCGGCTCTCGCGTTACGTCCCTGGCCCCCGTCGGGTCGCGGCGGAGGGACGAACGACGACGTCGGGCCGGCCGAAGGAACGAGAGAAGGCACACCGGGTGTGCGTGCGAGGGCAGTGATCTTTCAGGGAGCGGCGACCTGACGTACACTATTAGGTTGTCCAAGTTCGCGCGTTTTCTCGTGACCGTAATACGTCGATTATTTTCCCACTTTGAACAACTTTTAATTTGTCGCATATTCTTGACCTAGAGGTGAACCTACATACAGTGCTGGGAATACGTGTTCACCGGTAACAGCAATACTCATAGTCACGGTACCTTAAGAATGGAGTGGTTTAACACTGGAACTACCAGATGGGTCAAAATTACCAATTCCTAAATTCTTCTGGTACAATTATTGACAAAAGAATAGATTCTTCTCTAAGAAATTTCGAAAGAAATTGTTTCAGTAATACGCAAACTAAGTTTTGAGTGATCGAAGTCTCGATGGATGCACTCTTGGGGTTTCTATAGAAAAATTTTGAAAAGTCAACTTGACTGCTCGGTAGTTCTAGCGTTAAATGGTACACGACTCAAGTAGTTGGAAAGTATTCGGTATAAGTATAAGAATATATAAAAGTATAACAAACTAATAATTACTACAGTGACATTAGCTGTATCTTCAAAAGCCAAATGAGTTATTCTTGCTCTTACCCGGGTTTGCTATTGCGTTCAATAGAAAATTCATTATCTTAATTCATTATTTGAAAGGTTATCAATGAATTTTCACATTAAAAAATATGGAACATTTTTCTATATGTAGCTTGGCCCTGGTTTTCGCGCGATCTTCGCGTTCCTACACGTGCTACCCGGCGACCAAAGCCGGTGCGCTCGGCAGACATTGCAGTGCGATCTATCAACTTTTCCTACCCTATGGCGTCGTGCCGTGATGGGGCGGGGTCATTTCGGTTGCATCGGCGAGGACAGGAAATTTTTCCAGCGGTTCTTGGCCCAACCCCACGGACACGCAGGGTGTTTCCCATATGAATGGCAGAAGCACGGTGCGTTGTGTGCAGCCGGGCAGGCTGCAGCCAACGCTGCAGTAGGCCTGTGGGCCAAGGTTCTCTCTCTCTCTCTCTCGCTCTCTCTTGCTCTCTTCTTTCTACCCGCCTCACTCTCTCTTTCTCTCACGCATTCTGTGCCTTTTCAGTTCCTCTTTGTCTTCGGTGTTCTCTTTATCCCCGCCACTTTCGCAGCCGGCGCATTTTCATCCTTTTGCCCCAGGACCCGAAGACAATGGACAGCCATCCAGCAGAAGTTAACACGTCCATCGGATTGTTTGAAGAGGATGGCAGACATTTGTCCGCGAATAGGACCG